AGCTCCATAAGATCAGTTTGTAGTCAAGCCTGTAAGGCATTTTCTTAATTAGTGATGGATGTGGTGGATCCCAGCCCATTGTGGATGTTGCCATCCCTGGGGTGCTAGTCTTAGAGTCTATAAGCAAGCAGGCTGAACAAGCCATGGGGAGCAAGCCAGCACCCCTCCATGGCCTCTGCATCAGCTCTTACCTCCAAGTTCCTGCCCTGTGTGAGTTCCTGTCCTGACTTCCTTCCATGATGAACAGGGATGTGGAAGTGTAAGCCAAACCCTTTCCTCCCCAACTTGTTTTTTGGTCATGATGTTTCACTGAAGCAGTAGAAACCCTACTTAAGACAATTCCAGAAGGAGGAAATCAGGAAGTAGCTACGGAATTCAGTGTAGCTGTAGGATGAGTCAGGGAGAACAGAAGAACAGTGTGTCCAAGCTTTAGGACCAACTGACTGATACTTACTTGCTACTAAAAGTTACATGACCCAGCTCTATTGTATTAGACCACTTTGACATTATTGAATACGGACTATATGCTTCGTCTGTGTTCATTCTTCAATTTTAAGGTGACTTACAATAAAGTAGGGATTGGCATTTGCAAATGCAAATTAACCTTACTGTACCCCTCTGTATCTATTACTGCTTGGTGACTTATACTGTAAGTTCTGACAGTAAATGTCTTGAATCAAGTCTCACGTTTCTTTGCCAGTTTGCCCCGTGTCTCTGGAAAAATTATTTAAACTTGTACTTGAATTTTCTTCATTTGTAAAAGTAGTTGATTTCAGGTGCTATTGTGAGGTGATCACACACAATGCTTATTGTGTACTAAATGTCCCACATAGCTCAGTCGGGAGGAAAATGAATTAAAAATCCCCCCTTTGTCTCTCCCTTCCTAACCACCCACCCAGCCATAGCAACAAAGAAGTCATTTAGGCAGGGAACTTCAGGCTTATTTTGAAATAGATATGCAGTACATTACGTTGGCAGCTATCGTTTTTATGGGGTGTGTGTGTGTGTGTGTGTGTGTGTGTGTGTGTATGTTTTCTCATGTGGATGTGTGCATGCTGAATGTGTACCATTAGACACTTAATGTGATATTGACTGTCTTCCCCATCATTCTCCACTTTATTTATTAAGGGAAGGCCTTTTGAAGAACCCGGAACTCCTTGATTTAGTTAGTCTAGTTAGCTACCTTGCCCTAGGGATGCCATCTCTGCATTCTTAAGTGCCAGGATTATAGACAGCCACCTCATGTCTCTAGCTTTGTCAAGGGGTCGGGAGAGCCAAACTCTGGTCCTCCCACTTATCCTGTAGTAGTGTTTTTTGTTGTACCCATCTCCCCAGCCCTCCTGATCTTTTATTCCGTTCTTCAGTCCTTATAACCTTCTGGACTGTGACTGTGGGTCACCAGTAGATAGAATGGCCGTTATAGCATACATTCAAGACCTACATGCCATACTCGGCAGTACCCAAGAGTTCAGATGTCACTAGCTCTGATTTCTGTTTCTGTTTATCTGTCTTATATACTACTTCCTTTTTATTCCTCATTCATTTCTACTTATTTTGTATGTGTAATTCTTTTTTCTTTTTAAAAGACTGTTGCATGTTTGAACTGTGCTCTTCTACAGCCCCTCTTTGGGATGAGCAAAGCCTGGCAAACTTTACACACAGTATCTGGCAGGTGTTGGCCCTCAAGTAAAGTAATTGATTTGCTTCAGAAGCAAAGGGCACTAATTAGGTAGGCATCCTAGGTATTGATAGGGAAACAGCAGAAAAACTGAGTGCAGAGGGGTATCCCAGTTATGAAATCTGTATCCTCGTCAACGGAATGCACCGGAATTCAGAGTGACAAGGCAGAATAACATTAAACAAAAACATTTATCATTAGTTAGCTTTGTTCCATAATTAACTAATATGTCGGAGTACAGAATAATACATGAACATTTCTCCATCTAGCAAATATAGTAACAGAATAATTTTGTGTATAGTGCTTTTGGTTTTAATTTGAATTTCAGATATTTTGTACTTTCATCTAGTTTGAAGGTACCCATCCATAAGAGGTGGAATTATTTTATTAAGTAGATGATGTGAGAATGTTGGATTATTTTGTAGTCAGAATGCTCTGTCAGAAATGCCAGCATTAGGGAGCATCCACTGGTATGAAACTATGTGGGTATTTGTGTCTGTGACTTGTTGTTTTATGATTAGTGTGCTCTAGATTGATGTTTTGGTGTGTGTTCTCTCTCTCTCTGTCTTTGTGGGGGGTCCACTTTAAAATAACAGTTTTAGCTAGTGTTACAAATAAATACATGGGTAAAGTAACGTAAAGGCTGTTATTGAGCCCATGCGTGGCTTAATCCTCCCTGCATCCCTGCGCTCTGCTCTACACTGCGTAGGCCTTATGTGCATCTGTGGATTAGGCAGTTGGGAGAGAATGAATCATCCTCTGAAGGTCATAGTGAGGATAATGGAGCCGGCATGTGAACTGACTTGAAGTAGAAATCTTAATTCTCATTGTGCCTCCCTTGTTCTTGTGGCACCTAAAGTAAACTAGCTAGCTAACCACTCTACCCAGCCACAGTTTCCTCTGGCGGATTGGGCTTACTGTATTTGCAGTAGGTTAGGCAATCTTACATACTACCAGGGTCAGAACTACTTGGTCCAAATTCTTTGTTCTTCTCATGCTGTATTTCATTATCTCACACACACACACACACACACACACACACACACACACACACACACACTCACACACACTGTTAAAGCACAGTCATGACTTACTCTGATACCTCCCTATCCACCCTTTGTCCATAGGGCCATGCTGGTAGGACCCTTTGAGGTTGGTTACATCTGCATAGTACTGCTCTAGCCAAAGGGACAGGAATGAACTCAGAAACGGTGGGAGGGATGCCTTCTTAGACCATGTACAAAGATTTACTAAGGCATAGTGCTTACAGTTTGATAGATGGCAAGAGTTGTTCTGTTATGTCAAGAGGTTGTATTTATTACCTGTAGGTGACTGTGTTAGTTTGGACAGGGAAGTTTTGTATAGGGCTATCTGTGGCACAAGAATAAAAGCTTTCTTGACCTTGAGGCAACTGACTTCTGGACTTTGGTGTTTTCTGTGATAATCTGCTAATTGATATTCCAAGGTAAAGAGAATTCTCAAGGCCAGGAGGCTACTTCTTTGACTGCCCCAAAAAGGAGAGCTCCTTTTATATTCTTTGCTTCTGGTAGTTAGTTTTGTTTATTTTTAAATCTGTTTTTATGTATTATATTTTATATTCTTATACAGCAGTTCTCCATAGTTTTCTATAGTTTGTTAAAAATCCGAATTGCATAACAGGTTTGTTTAAAACAAACAAAAAAAAAATTAAAAATGTCTTCTTTAAGAAGATTTACCAAAGCTAGTCTTTACAATTTTCCATCTTGTACACTGTGGATGATTGAAAAACAGAAATAAGAATTCTTGGTGTATATATAATTGGAGATTGAAGCCCAGAGTTTTACACAAACTAGGCAAACTTGTGATACAAACTACATCCTGAGCCTTTGCAGTTTCAAAGTCAAGTCTCCAGCTGGCCTCAACTTTGGGATCTTCACGCCTCTGCCTTCCGAGTGCTGGGATTACAGGTGTGCATCACCACACTCAGCTGTAAGACTCACAGGGCTGCATCTGTGTCCCATTGTTAGCATCCTTTAAAGTTCTGCAGGGACAAGGCTTGTGTGGAAATCTTATAGTTGGATAGCTGTGGCCTTGTTTGATTCCCGAGAAACAACTCTGAGCTCCAGGTAGCAGACCTAAGCTCAAAGAGCATATCTTTGACTGATAGCAAAAGAGCAGTGCTTGGAGGGGGGAATAGCTCAGTGGTTGGACATTAGTTTTTCATGAGGCAAGAAAGGAAAGGTATACAACATAGGATTTACCTTATGTTGCCTTTGCTTTGGCAGAACTTCACAGCATGCTTTGTTAGAAGACAAAATGGTCTCTGCATGTGAATGTTAGTTTTCACACAGAGGGCGAGAGTTTGTTAAAACTCATCAAACGTTCTAAACTTGTCTTTTTACTTTGTATTATCTACTAGCTGCCAAAACTAGAATAGCAGTGTGTTAAAATGATTACATTCTTATTTGAGGTTAATGAAACTATAATGCATATAACGGTAGCTCACAGACGATTGTGGAACTGTGTTTTGTTTTTTTGTTTTTTTGTTTTTTTTTTTGTTGTTGTTTTGCTCTTTATTCAGTAGTGTATCTAAGAGAACGGGGCTAGGGATGTAACGTAGTGGATCATGTATTTCACATGTAAAAATCCAGGTTCATCCCAAGCACTGGGAAAAGGAAGGAGAAAGTGAGAGGGGGCAAATGAAAACCATAGAGCCAGGATGGATATCCGGGTTATATTCTGCTAGTCTCTGGTATGTACAGATCTCACGTTAATTACATCAGCGAAGTCTCGGTGGTCCCCGTGCACGCTGATCAAAAGGCGTCTGGACACTGACTGTTATTTTCATGCTGCATCAAGCAGCATGGTTATAGAGTCAGCTCTTGGTTATATTTTTAGTTCCAAATGACATTGTAGGGTTGAAAAATGAGAGAAAAAATGATATTTCAAAATGACATTTGCCTGCTAGGAGAAAAAAATCAGTACTCTGGAGATCAACTACCATTTTCCTCTTGTTACTTTAAGAGGAACCAAACAGTTTGGGTCAAAGTAGGTTGTATTAATCTTAAATTATCTTGTTTTTGTGTATTACTGATTTTAATGCTTTATACTTTATTTTTTTTTTCCTGGAAGCAACCATTTCTCCTATTTGTTTTAAAACCTCAATCTATAAGACTTGTGACTATTAAAAAAAAAAAATGGAAAAAGAAAGCCATGATTATCCCAGCCTCAGTGGGTGGCCTGGATTGAATATCAGGTCATCAGGATATTTATTCGTTAGATAATCTAAAAGTTTCCTTTAAACCTGCACATGCTAAGACATCCTTAATGGGAGCGATGGCAGCTTTGGCCGTCCAGGAGTGGAGTGTTATTGCCAGCATGAGAACGGGGCTGCAGTGATCCAACTCCAGTTCCTGATTAATGAGGTGAGTGGCTTGTGTTCATCCCTCCTACTTAGAGCCAAAGTTAGAGCACGCCTAGTTTTCCAGGTTGCTGGCGTATACGCGTCTCTAAATACTTGAACGAAAACGCAATTTCTTGCGAGTCACAGGCAGTCATAATTCATTTTAAGGTGCTACCACAGATAGTTACCCAACATGATTTCTTGCAAGTGGAATAGTGTGGGTAGATATTTTTGATAACTGATGGAGTATTTGAATTATTGTTGCAAGGATTGGGAAAGTTACAAAACATCAAAGTGTCTGCATTGAGATGATGTTCAATGCAGAGCTCATTATTGGTAAGAGATTGTATTTTAGCAGGATGCTTCAGAATATGCCCAGGGAAGTTGCTTATTGGTTTTGTTTGTGTGAAAAGAGCTAGAGAAAACACCATTTTCCAATATAGGAAATGGCTTGCAGGGAGACTGATTGAGAAAGGCTCCACTTTCTTTAAAATCGAAGACATTCTATAGACATTCTGTAAAGAGTGAGCCCCTCATTATGTGTGAGAAAGATGCCCGTGAGACGTCTCAGTGGGCAAAAACTTCTTAATACATTTAGACATGTTACTAAGTCAGCCCCTTAGTCTCCAGCTTGTTTGTCTCTTTCTGTATCACTGTCTTCTCCGGGGCTTTCATGGAAATTCACTTGCAGAGGTCCTTGTGCTCTGGAAATTCTGACTTGTTGGTCCTGAGCAAGAGTGAGCCACCTACAAGGCTTTCAGGCCACTCACTTTCTTGGCCGTGAGTGATGGTATGAGCTAACAGGATGTTGTAATGTAATTCAGGGCTATCCTTTGTTCAGAGTTGAATATTGTCATTATTCTGTGTATAATTGCAATAAAGGACTTCCATCAATATTTTTCATATATAAATATAAGGAGGCTACCTTATCATATGTTTGTAGTAAAGAAAGTATCTATACTAATGAACAAATGATTTGGGGTCTGATATCTAATAATTTTGGAGATTTTTAGCCCTCCCACCAAATCCTAGTATAATTTTGGATTATAAGTTGTTAAATTACTGAAGAAGTTAAAACATTAGTTTATATGCAGATATATAATATATTTATCTACATCTCCTGTTGAGAATTTGTATGAGGCAAATATTTCTTAAAGCTATGATTTATTGGCAGAAAGTTTTCAAATTAAAACTAATTTTGGCATCTCTTTGGGAACACTGTTGTAAAATTGTTCCATATAAACCATATTGTTACATATAAGATACACTTTATTTTCCAGGGAGCCCTCGTGAGTGCCTTGGCTGATGACACCTTACACTTGTGGAATTTACGTCAGAAAAGGCCTGCCATACTACATTCACTTAAATTTTGCAGAGAAAGGTAAGAATGCTGTTTTCATACAAATAGAACATTTGCTATTTAGTTGTTGTGCACTGCTTTGAACAATATTCTTTTGGGATGTATTGTTCTTACTGTAGACCATAAGAAGTAATTTCAGTGTCACAGGATACACAATGACAACAGAGTTCTTTCTTCCCAAATAGAATTGTATAAATTATCCCCCCCCTTTTTTTAATAGAGGTAATCACAGCTTAGGTATAAAGGTGAAAAAAAATCTCTTTGTAGCCCCTTTTTTCTTTTTAATAAGGGACTTTACATCCATCTTTCTTAACCTGTTTCCCTAACTCCATATCTGATAGGTTATCTCGTATCAGCACCTTCATATCTCTCCTGGTCATTTCTACTCTCACATTGTATGGGAGTGTCATAATATGTTCTACAAATCTTCATCGTGTCCTTGGAGTGGTCTCTGCGTTTAGAGCTTTTTCAGATGGTTGTTCCTGTTGCTTTATTGTGCTATGCTGTCATGATATATGTATATATATATATATACGTGTATGTAAATATACCTAAAAGATAAATTTATAGAAGTACAATAGTCTACAAAAACCTCTCCTAAGATCTGTGAAATTTAGGCATTTACGAAGGGGTCTTCAACCCAATTTTATTAAACACTGTCCTCCAAATGTTTTCATAGAACTCTTAAGTTTTCATTATTATTCTTCATCTTTGATTCATATGGAACTTACTTTTGGCATGAGATATGAATTTGTATATAATCTCCACAGTTTATGAGACTATTTTTAGATGTGTGTGTTGTGTGTAGTAGTAGTAGTAGTAGTAATAGTACTAGTTGGCATTTAAGACGAAAATCACTTGTTTTCTCCAATGATTAGCCTATGTTACTGTTTTTGTTGTTGTTGCTTTGTTTTTTTTTTTTTTCTAGGTTACTGTTTTGATGAGTGTTGTGTTTGCCTTTCAGACTGTATATACTTGTCAGTCTTTAACTCTGGGTGTCTGCCCCCAGTAGTCTTCCACACTAGGGCAAGGCAAGTTAAGGTGGCCTCTGCAAATGCAGCATCTCATAGTGCCACCAACCTGAGGTATAACTACATGAAATGTGAGCGGATGGGGATACAGAGCAGACCTAGTGAGAGGGCAGTAACTGTTTGCTGTCGCCTGTATCTGATTGGGAAGACAGAACACATCAGTGTGTCAGCTTAGTCATGCTTGCTTCTAGAAGGGCACAAAGAAGCAAAGATTCAGTTATTATCTACCCCCTGAGAATCAGTCTAACCTCTTGACTTCTGCCCAGAATTCTCTAGTGTGTTTGTCAATGGAATCTCGGGGGGAAGCTCTGTCAGTTTCGATGTCAAAGAATGTACACCAGATGGACATTTGTCCCTAGTACTTACCCTCTCCTTAGTGCCCTACTACAGTGAAGGTGGAGCTCTAACAGGATGGCTGTCACAATCATAATTTTGCCCCAAGAAGGCATTTGGCAGTGTCAAGAGACAACTTTCAATGTTACAGGTAGGAGGAGGAGTATGCTGGTTTCCAGTGGATAAATGCCAGAGATTCCACTGTCCTTGCTACAGTGCATAAGATGGTACCCACAGCAAAGTGCCATGTGATCCAAAATATCAGAAGAATCAAAGAAACTCTGAATCTAGCAAGTCAAAATGATGACAATTTGGTCAGTGTAGTGATGCAGAAGTTCTCGCAAACTATTGTTCATTAGAGAGAGCTTGCCAGGAGCAAGGATTCTAGCAGAAGGTTATGTCTGGTGCCTCATTTGTCAGTGACATGCCCATGTTTTCAGTTGGGTAGAGGAGTATGGTAGTACTTTGTCTAGGCTCACAAGCATATTCAGTATGGGTTACCTATTAAATACTCTCAATGGAGTAACGAAACATCAAGGGATCCAGTGGTAAGAAGTGCTGACAGTCAAATATGGAGGTTGTTTGCATAGCAGTGTTTCTAAGGATAGTGTTGCAATTTTGATATGGAGTTCTTGTGGTACTTGTCCAGTCCAGTCCTGGAATGCTGCCCCACAGATACAGGCTCTGTTTTGTGATGTAGAAATTAGGATGTAGAACCTACTGGAAAGAAGTAGGTCACTAGGTATGGAGTCTTTATTATCCCTTACCTCCTGTGGCTTGCTTGGCTTCCTGTTCCATATGAAGTGAAGAATTTCCTCTGTCACATGCTCTTTCAGCCATCATGTTCTGTCCAAGCTCAAGGGGCCAACCTTCTATGAACTGAACCTGTGAAACAGTGAGCCCAAATGAGTCTGTCCTCCCTTAATTTGTTTTAATCAGGTACTTTGGTCACAGCAGTGAAAGTTAAGTAAACCAGAAATTGTGGTAGATATTGTCAATGGAGAATGGCAAGCCAGTCTAAGATGTGAAAAGTGCACAAAATTGTCATCTTTCAGTAAATGAACCCTGAAAGGCAGCATCATGTAAGGCACAGCTTGCAGCTTGTACAGTTGTTTTCTACGTTGTAAAACTGACAAATGAAGTGAACTGATGGAATTCCCCATTCTTGACCTATAAAATGGTTATCCACATAACTCACAGAGGCTGGTTAAGCCTGTGCAAAGTTCAGATCTCCTGAAGTGTTTATGAGGCAGCAGTAAAAGAGACATTGAGGCAGGACTAAATGTTTCTCGAATACATCCTTTGGAAGAGATTCCATATGATGGCTGTGAACAGTGTGGGTGATAGAACCTAGCTAGCAATGGGCCCCGGTCTTCACAGACATTCCTTGTTGTGGTACTATGTGTTCACATGGCTGCCAGGTGAGAGGGTACTGGACCAGGAGTCTGGTTTTCCTCCGCCTTGCCCCTCCTTCCATCTTTCACTTTAGGAATGTATTTCTCTTTACTAAATATCAGTGCTTTATATTTATGTTTGTGTTCTGTATCACAGAGGATATAGTCCACATTATGGTGTCGTGACAGATCCTCTCAAATTCTCAATGACTTGCTTTAACATCTTATTTTGCTACTGTGTGCATCCTTTGTGGACTCGTTTGGGAATGCTATTCCTTCTTGTCCTCTTTACCCCAGGATCTCTGAGAAGCAGTCAGTTGCTAAAATATTATCCGTTACTGGAGCTAAAGGGGAAGAGCATGCTAAAACCATTGGCCCTTGAGGAAGGTCCTACCCTGAAGTGATGATACTCATCTCTTGCACTCTTACTTCAAGGGCCAGAGCATATCACGTGGCTGTCCCTAACTTGAGTGATAGACCCAGCAAAAGAGAAATATGCAGCTCTGGGTGATGACGATCACACTGCAGCTCTGGGTGATGACGATCACACTGCAGCTCTGGGTGATGACGATCACACTGCAGCTCTGAGTGATGGCGATCACACTGCAGTGGTGGGTGATGGCGATCACACTGCAGCTCTGGGTGATGACGATCACACTGCAGCTCTGGGTGATGACGATCACACTGCAGCTCTGGGTGATGACGATCACACTGCAGCTCTGGGTGATGACGATCACACTGCAGCTCTGGGTGATGACGATCACACTGCAGCTCTGGGTGATGACGATCACACTGCAGCTCTGGGTGATGACGATCACACTGCAGCGCTGGGTGATGACGATCACACTGCAGCGCTGGGTGATGACGATCACACTGCAGCTCTGGGTGATGATCACACTGCAGCGGTGTGGTGGGTGATGATGATCACACTGCAGCTCTGGGTGATGATGATCACACTGCAGCTCTGGGTGATGATGATCACACTGCAGCTCTGGGTGATGATGATCACACTGCAGCTCTGGGTGATGACGATCACACTGCAGCTCTGGGTGATGATGATCACACTGTAGCTGTGGGTGAGGACGACTGTTTTACTTTTACAATTGGCATCAAACTTATGGGAACAGGAGCCCAGTTTGTTCTGATTCCAGTATGAATTTGAGTTAACTTGGGTCAATTACTACTTTTTCTTTTATGCTATTTGTATTTTTACTTCTGAAATTAAGATAGAAAAAATATGCACTAAATGCTATTTGTAAGATTCTGAAAAATTATTACCCTAAGCTTGCATGTTTTGTCTTCAGTAATAACTTATATTTTAGTGAAAATTTCTGTACATATAATACAAATTCTATATAGTAATTAAAATTATTTTTCATAATATGCATTTTATTATAGTTCTTGTATACTACAATTTACTGCAATTCAAAAATTATAAGATTACCACTTTTTAAGAAGTTTAGCTCACAGTTAATGTTACACAGTTTTGTGCAAACCCATTATGTGAATAGGTCTTGATAGGTATTTGAGTGTCAAGTCTTGGCTTACCTCTATAAACTTGAGAAAATTACTTTGCTGTTTTGTGTGATGTTTTGTAATTTACAGAAAAATGTTCTTTAAGCCTCAAAGTCTTTACTGTTTTATTTCTCTTAAATGCTGGACAGTTTGTTTTGTTTTTTGTTTTTTTCCAATTTTCCCATTTACTGTGAGCATTGTTGTAGAACATGAATCTTGGTACTGACTGCTGAGCAGATATTTGGCATAATAAACAAGATGGATGTAGGTCTTACTTTTAGGATATTGGTCAAATCTAAGAATACTAGTTAAACTTGCTAGATGCCTAATTAAATGTCACTTACTCATATTGAATGAATAAATATGCATTTCAGTTTCCATAGGCTGATTTTTTTTTTTTTTTTATATTGTGTAAGAAAAACCTTAAGAATGTCCTGGTTGAGCAGGCACCTGATTATCCCCAGGCAATTGAAACACCAGAGTTGCATTTCCCTACCATTCCTAGGCTGGTTTCTTCTAAAGCCATAGCTTGTGCATGGGCAGCTGACTGTCTTCTCTCTGTCTCCCATGGTTTCCCTGTGTGCTGGGTCCTAACTCTTATGAGAACACCAGTCACACTGGATTGGGGCTGATACAGTGACTTTATCTTGCTACCATGTTCCAAACATGTCACACTCTCCTCTGCTGTGTGGCAGGGATGGCTAGGACTTTAGCATATGATGGAGGCTGAATTATCCTAAAAGAAAAG